GGCCAGCCCAGGGCCAGCCCAGAGCAGGCACTCAAGGTTTGTGGAGAAGACAAATTCACACCCTTCCTCTTTCAATCATTATTACCCTTTCCTTTCTTCACGCACTCACTCACTCACTCACTCACTCACTCACTCACTCACTCACAGCCTCCAGGATCAGGATGGGGCAATGGTGTAATCAATCCTGCTCCCTACCGCGCCCCACCCCCCATCACACAGAATGCATCTCCTGAGTGCCCATAAGATGCCAAGTTTTGGCAGATCTTTCCATGCCAAAACTGGTCTGTAAACCCTGCCTGGATGCACACCCCAGTAGACATCCTGTTTTCCTCTCTTCTTCTCTCTGCCCTGATCACATGTTCTGGGCCAGATGCTTATGAAATCTTATGAGTTCTTCCATCACCAGGCTCCTGATGGCCTGGGCTTGGCTTTGAGTCATGTGCTCTGGGGCTTGGCAAGGCTGGGACAGGAAGCTCACAGGCCTCAGTGACACTAACCCAGGCTGACTTGGAACCAGGCCAGAGTCACTAGTCTTATCACCACACACCCACAGAGCACACCTGTGAACTGACGTGTGAGGATGTGGTCCAGAACAGCACGTGATGTGTTCAAGGTCACAGGGAATGCTAACATCTCATGACCACAATTGCACAGCAGTGGAAACAGACTCCACTTTCTATCATCACAGGACGAGGATTTGAAGCCCAGCTATTTACTAGCTGTGTGACATTGGCAAGCTGCTTCACTTCTCTGAGCCCATCTTTACTTATTCGCAGTAGATACTCAATATATGTAGCTTCTAAAAAAATCAAAAGCAGACTAAGTAAAACACACACTGAATCAGTATGTCTACAGACATACAGCATTATGATTTACATGGCTGTTGACATGTACGTAAACGTATGTTAATATGTACCACATGTGTAACATGCTTATTCAAGGACTCGTGTATGAGTCCATCAATTTATATATGGATGCATGTGTCTGTAGGTTGTTTGTGTTAATTACTTTTTTCAATAATGCATGCCATTTTTAGGGTGGTTTTCCAGAGGATTTTCTGAGCACTCATCATGGGCAAGAATTGGCATTTATCTGGGTAGATATGCATATGCTTGTCTGTGTCTGTGTGGGTCTGTGTGAGGGGTTATTAGTATGACCTCATACATTATCATATTGGTTAGTTGGTAGAATCTGTGGGATTTAGCTCACTTCTGCACCTATGGATGCCAGAGGTATAGGGCATTCTGGACCTAGACTGTTTGGGTTCAAATCTTATCTGTGCAACCTTGGACAGGATGCTTAAACACTCTATACTCAATTTTCTTTTCTATAAACTGGAAGATAATGGTAACTGCCTTATGGTGTAGGAGGACTAACAGAGTTAGTTTATGTGAAGTACCGAGGACAGAGCCCAGCACAGGCAAGCGCTGCATATGTCACTCTCAGAATCTCCCTGTGTCTGTCCTCTGTGACATGACATTATCTTGTCCTTTCATGGCAGCACTCACTCTATGAGGTCGGCACTGTCTGTCTGCAGGGCTGTCCTTTCCACTAGACTGTGAGTCCCTGGAGGGCAAGACCATATCCAAGCCATTTTTAATTATAACTGGCGCTCTGCTTGCTAATTCTGAACCTTAGATGTCTCCTCTTTCATAGCAATAGATAGCATTTATTGGGCACTTCTGTGTGCCAAGCACTGTGTTAGGCTCATTAGACCTTCAAACAATCTCAAGAGTTGGATATCTTTGTTGGCATTATTTTAGAGACAAAGAAAATGAGACTCAGAGAGGTTAAGAAATTGCCCAGGCTCACACACTGACAGACTGCCTCGCTCTCGGCCGGCTCTCAACGTAAGATTTGGAACGATTATCTTGGGACATGAATGTTGCAGAATGTCTGTCTCTTGGATTCCTCACAGCTGGCTCTCTCTCCATCTCCCACTAATACCTGTCCCATCTATATGAGCACCCCTTTGTTTCTCTTTCTCACCCTAGGGCATCTCCGCTCCCCGCCCTGACACAGCACCCCCCAGAGGTCATGTAGTGTCCCAAGATCACCTTTCTTTGGTCCAGATGAGGGTGAAGTAGAGGAGCTACTCTGAGTCTCAGTTTGAGAAATAACCTAGGCCCTTGGATCAGCAGGGATGAGGGAGGTATGTAAGACTCAGCAGGAGGGAGGGGAAGCCTCTGGATAGTGTGGGTGATGCTCAGGCTCTGGGATTAAAAGGGATGGACAGAAGGTGAACACTACCCTCTGTCACCCTCTCTCCCTCTCTCAGGCCTCCCCACCTCAGAGAGGAAAGAGAATGCAGGCTAGAGGAAAAATAGCTTCCCTCTAAGACAGGGCTAAACTGTCACACTGCTGAGCTGCCACCACTTTGAAGGAACACCAGAGGGAGCCCTGGGGCAGCTGTGGGCTCTGTTTAGAGCTCCCATGTCCCCCTTGGGTCTCCAGGAGCAACCAAGGCCGCCCAAGGTCTTGTGCATTCTGCTGTCATTGGGTAGAGCACTCTATTAATGTCAATTAAGTCAAGTTGGGTGATAGTGTTGTTCAAATCTTCCCTACCTTTACTGATGTTCTGTCTACTTGTTTCATCATTTATTGAGAAAGAGTATTGAATTCTATGCCACGGCCCAGAAGCGCAGGGAAGTCAGTTGGGGCGATTGTAGGGCTCTTCTCTTTCATTTATTTTCTGGTCCGTTCTTTAGTTCTTTCAGATGGAAGAGTAAACCTGATTCCTGTTATTCCATCTTGACCAGACAAATATATTTTTTTAAACGTTTTTTCTTTTGGAAATAATTTTAGATTTAAAGGAGAGTTGCAAAGACAGTACAGAGTTCCTATAAACTCTTCAGCCTTGTATCTTTACTCTCCTCCAATCGGTGACAGTTTCTTGGCCTTTTCTTGTCTTTCATGACCTTGACACTTTTGAAGAGCAGTGGTCAGATATTTTGTAGCATGTCCTTCATTGGGTCTTCCCACGGTTAGGCTGAAGTTATGGATTTGGGGGCTGGGGGAAGAACACCATGCAGGTGAAGTGCATTTCTCATCACATCGTTTCAGGCGTCCATGATATCAAGTAGGCTTGTTACTACCGGCAACACTAACCTTTATCATTGGTTAAGGTAGACAGAGTTGTCCACTGTGAATTCTCTTGTTCCTGTTCTACATTCGATTTGTTGGGAACAAGTTGCTAAGTCCAGCTTACACTCAAGGAGACAGGACCCAAGCCTCCCCTCCTGGAGGGCAGAGCATCCAATAACTCGTGGACATGCGTTAAAGCCACCACAAATTAATAAACATTTGAGACTATGCAAATACCCTCTTTCACCTGAAAGTTTCATCCACTCATTTTAGCGTTCACAGGTGACTTTAACAGCAATTATTACTGTGGCGTGCTAAGGACAATTTTTCTATTTCTCTCAAGCTTTCCGTATTTATTCATTGAAGTTCTTCTGCAAGGAAGATCTGTCCCTTCTCCTCCATTTATTAAATGTATTCAATCAATTATATTATCTTTAAAATTAATTATGTTTTAAAATATAACACATTCACATGGTTCAAAATTCAAAACAGATGAAAGAACATGTGGTACAAGTCTCCCTCCCATCCCTTCCCCAGGCACCCAGTCCCTAGCCCCTTCCCCGAGGCAGCCAAAGGCAATAGAGATTTTATGCACGTATAAGCAAGGTGCATAAATCTTCTTATAACATTAATGGCTTTAAAGTATTCATAGTGTTCTGCGCCTTGCCCCTTTTCACCTAACAATATAACCTGGAGATTGGTCTAGCCCGTACATAAAGAGCTTTCTCATTCTTTTAACATTGTTTCCAAATGTTTTCTGTTACGAACAATGCTGCCATGTTCCAATATGTAGAATTTAACCTACAGATACACCTGAGCAAGAGAGAGGGATCAAAGGGTCTGTAGGTTTTCCATTTTGATATTGCCACTTTGCCTCTCTCATAAGTGGCACCAGTTTACAGCCTGTTTCCTCGGGCTGCTGTGCAAAGCAAATTATGTGGCTACAAACTATGTGGCTTAAAACAATAAAAATATATTCTCTCACAGTTCCAGAGGCTAGAAGTCTGGAAGATTTTGGCTTCTACTCTGAGCGAAGTGGGAGCCATGGGAGCCATGGGAGCCATGGGAGCGGTTCTGAGCAGAAGAGAGACACAACGTAACATGTTATAACAGGATCTGTCTGACTGCTCTGTAAAGATTAGTCTTAGAGGTTGGAGGAGCCGGAAGCAAGGAGACCAGGGAGAAGTTGGTGCAACAATCCAGATGAGAAGTGATGATGGCTCAGGCCAGGGAGCTAGCTGTGAGGTTGGCGAGAAGTGTTTGGGCACAGCATGTACTTCCAAGGTTGAATCGACAGAACTTGCTGATGGATTGGATTCAAGCTGTGAGGAAAAGAGGAGTCAAGGATAATCCAAGGTTTTGACTAGAGCAACCAGGAGGCTGGAGCTGCCATTCTCTAAGATGTGGACAGCAAGACATGGGGTCTGTAAAGCAATGGGAACAGGGTCTGGGCCCTGGTGAGTGCCAGTAGGGGTTAGCTGTTCTTATCACCCTGGAAGATTCCACCTTTGGCTCCAACTCCTTCCCCAAACTGCCCCTGTCTTCTGTTCTTCTGTTTCTCTCAGGGATGTACCACATTTATGTTATAATGGTCTGCAGCAGTTTGTCAAGATGGCTGAAAAATTTCCTTCCCATGAGGCTAGCATTTAAATTCACCCCCAGGAAGCCTAGGCAAGTGGTTTCACTCCTCTGACCATTGGTGTCTCATCTGTAAAATAAAGATAATAATATCCTTTCTCATGAGGAGCAAATGAGAAATGATGGATTAAGTGCCCAGCACACAGTAGGTACCCACAGCAGTCTCTTCCCTCCCCGCCCGCCCCCACTCCCAGTGGTCAGGAAAAAAAGAAGCAAAGTCAGTATCCATCCCAGCTGTTTATTGAAAGGGAAGTTGGGATGGAAGCGGTGCAGGTTAAGGAGGTGGCCTGGGGCACAAGGGTAGTAGGGCCTGCCTGGTGGGGGAAGACTGAGGACTCCCCCTCAGGATGCCCCTCAAGCTGGTGGTGAAACAGTAGGGAGGGTAGGGGCAGGGTCTTAAATGTCTCTCTCCGGCTGCCTTGGAGCTCCACCTAGTGGCAAAGAACAGAGATGCTGTGTCACCTGTGAGTGACAGTATCTAAGGTGGGGTACTTTGACAGACAAAAGACATCCCAGTTCTTAAGTGGCTCTTAGAGACCACTTAAATGCATGTCCAAAGTATTTTCTGAGTAACCAGAAACCATTGCCTTCAACTACTCTCCCTGGGTCAAGCCTGTCTCCAACCCCTGGGGGTCCCCTGGAAGCCAGGAAGATACAGTGGCCCTGCTCCAGCTGTAGAACAAGAGCTGGCCCAAGAGTCTGAAAATGTGGGTCTGAGTTCCTGCAGACTACCAGTTTCCCTCAGCCACCTCATCTGCACACTGGGGCTAGTAATAGTCTGGGATAGAGAGGATGGAGGGGCTCTGATGCCAAAATATATGTAGAAAATGTACTCTAGGGGGTAAATGTTTTCATACCATCCCGGACAGGAAGTCCAGTGAGCATCTTTGACCCATCCTGAGGTATCCTGGTGCAGCTGACAGAAGGAGGGATGAGAATGACCCTGCTACCTCACCGCCCCCATCTTTGCCTATAGGGAGTAATACTTACATCCTAGAGAGAATAGGGAAGTCATGGAACTCGAGAATCTTGTCCCAATCCCTTATAGTACAGAGACAGGAACTGGTTGTCTGAAAGGAAAGGGGCTGGGCCAGAGTCACACAGAGGAAAGAATGGGGGCAGGTTGAGGGAGATGCTTTCTGCCCCTGAAGGGCCTGGGGGAGGAGGGGTGGGTAGGAAGTTTCGGGCGAACTTGGAGAAGATTGGCATCTTGGATGAGCTGGGGCCCTACCCCCTGAGAATGAGCATGGGGATGTAAGCTCCAGACTGTCTGACCTGCAGTTGAGCCATCTCAGGGTTTAGACAGAAGGGTCTCTGCTGAAAGGGAGAAGTTATGGAGACAATGAGAGAGCGTGGTGTGGTGGGGAGGAGGAAATCCTGTCTGGTGACTCCTCTGGCCATGAGGGCAGCTCAAGAGTCCCGCTTGGGTTGGATGGTCTGCACAGAAGATCGCCCAAAGGGGCTGGCAGGTGGTGAGAACCAAGACTGGCCACTGGCATCACGGAAGATGGGGGACAGTTGCTGCTCTGACTCGTCCCCAAAGACCTCCAGATGACCATCAGCTTCAGTGTCCAAGCGTTTTGCCTTGGTGTCATGGCTCAGCCAGCTGGTCATGGCCCAGAACAGGCAGATGGCCAGCAGGACCCCGGCTGCCACACAGAGCGCTGTGCCTGCCAGGCGGCAGGTGCCTAGGGCCTGGTTGTAGTCGGCTGCCCGCTGATCCAACACCAGGAACTCGCCCTCTCCAATGCCCTCCAGCTTGGGGGGCACCGCATAGCCAGTGGTCAGGGCTGCCACACCCAGCAGCAGAAGCAGGGTCCCTGAGGACAGGCTGATCTGGAAAGAGGCAGACAGATTGGTAAGCAGTCAAGAGTCAGCTGGGGGCCCCAAGTCAAAGGATCACCTTAGATCCAAACTGGACTCAAAGGTAACCCCTTAATCCAACTTTAAGAGATATGAATCACAGAACACCCCTGCTAGGATCTGACAAGCAGCACACACTGTTTGCTGCTTAGAATCTTGAGGCCTCTTGATTAATTTTCTTCCCAGCCCCCAGCTAACAGTAGGTTTCTCCTGTCAACCTCGAGTCCCCCTCCATCATTTTTTGGGTCCCATCTTATCCCCCTGTGCCATCTACCCTCTACAGCTATCTCTCTGTTGAGTTAACTCCTACACATCCCTCCGATCTCATCTCAAACCTCACCTCCTCAGAGAAGCCTTCCAGGATTCCCCTGAACTGGATCAAATCTCCTGCTCTGTGCTCATGAAAATACTGTGTCTATTTATTCTTCAGTGTACTCACCTTGGTGCACACTGGGACATGTACTTTGGTTACTATGTAAGTGATGTCTGCCTATCCCACTGGACCAAGAGCAGGGAGAGCCATGAGAGCAGAGACTGTTTCAGCTCACTAGGTGTCTTCTGTGCCTAGCACAGTTCTAGTACAGAGTAGTAGCTGAGTGAAATTTTGCAAAATGGCTAAATGAACCACAGCTAGAAGTTCCGTGAGGAAGGGACCATGTCTTCTTCAATTCTGTGTCCCCAAGAGCCTAGCACACTGCCTAACAATAAGAAGATGCTTAAAAGTTTAAAATACACACTGACTTCCTCCTGGAAGTCTTCTCTGATCACCCCAGGCACTGATAGCATTTCTCCTCCTGGTTTCCTCTGCACACCTGGCTTGATGTTGTGCATTAACTATGCACAGGTTGGCACCTCACCTCTCCATTAGAGTCAAGCCCTTCGAAAGCAGAGGGGAGGGAATCTCTGCCTCAGTCTTCCTAGTGTTTATCAAAGATCTAGGTCCATTTAGGGACTCATTGCCACCTCAATACCTTTATCCACACAGTGTGCCCTAACTGATCACTTTCCCTGGCTAGTATAAACTTCAATTGTTTGTTTGTCTCACCTCTTCCACTGCCTTGGCAACAGTACCCCAATATATCATTGAGAAGCACAGTAAGATTTAAGTGGGATGAACCCCCTTCCTGCCAATCAGCATATACCATCCCCTTGGCCACAGTAAATTAGTACAGGACTGGGCAAGTGACCCAATCAGAGCTAATGCAATACTTTGCAGGACTTCTAGAAATAAAAAGCATTCTTTTCTGAAGGAAATGCTACAGGAAATTCTGATTTCCCTTAGATGGTGTGGAGTGAAAGACCGAGGGTCAGCATAGTAGCAGCCATTTGGGGGAACATGTGGGAAGAATCTGAAGCTAACAGGGGCTGCAAGGGTGGGGGTCCATGGGGAGCCTGAAGACCAAGAAAATCTTGAGTCCTCGGTGTGATGGTCTGAACTGCTGGATTGAACTTTGCCTGAAGGTACACACCTCTGGTCTCTTCTATAAAATGAGCAATATTTTCGCTTTATCGTTTAAACCCATCTGAGTTGGATTTTCTGTTGCTCAAACATCCTAACTGCTACACCAATCCTTTTCTTTCTATCCACTGATCCCATCTCCTCCCTGAAGCCAGAGGAAATCATCCAAGTTGCTTCTCCTCCAGCCTTACCTTCCAGCACAGTGAGGGCCAGGGCCGGCGAGGGCACAAGATGGAAGGCCCCTCAGGGTCATCGCTGAGGGCAGTACCTGCACAGTCCTCGTAGAAGAGGTGCAGATAGGAGCGGACTCCATACCACTTGCCATCTTCCACGTTGGGGCCACGGCTACAGCCACAAGAATGGTCACAGCTAGGCATTGTGGATCCCTGTGGGGTAGGCAAGGCGCAGAGGGAAGGAGGTGGTCAGTGAGAGCTGTCCATGGTGACCCTCCCAGGCTCCGGAATCTTTGTTCCCCATCCACTTTTCCTCCCATTTAAGCTACCCCTTACTCACAGCAGTCTGGCCTTCTGGAATCCTGGGACACTGTGAATGAGTCAATGCTCTGAAGTGCTTAGCCCAGTGCCTGGCAATTGTAGGTGTTAATAAATGTGTGCATTTATTGTAGAGGCCACCCAGTGGCTGGGAATGTGAGCCTCACTGTCTGGACTGGAATCCCAGATCCACAACTTCCTAGCTGTGTGAACTTTGATAAGTACTTTCATCTCACTAAGCCTCAGTTTCCTCATCTGTAAAACAGGGCTGATGATTATACCTGTTTTGTACAGTTATTGTGTCTGGTGCCAAGAAATAGTAGCTGTTGTGATTATTATTACCGCAATTTCTTCATTATTATTTTCATATTGAACTTTTCGAGCCCCACGTCTGGAGCGAGAGGTCCTCATCCTCATCTTCTCTCAAGATCTCCCCCCCTCCCCCCACTTTCAGGGTACTCCTGGGAATAACTGTCCTGGCTGACATGTGTCCAATCATGAGAGGTCCTCATCCTTATCTTCTCTCAAGATCCCCCCCCCCCACTTTCAGGGTACTCTTGGGAATAACTGTCCTGGCTGACATGTGTCCAATCAGGCAGAGCTCCCCAAACTGCAAGGCCCTAAAAGATCCCTCTCCAAGGCTGACCCTCAGAAGGCCACAACTTCTGAGTCCCAAGGAATTTTGATTTCATAGGAGGTGAAAGCCAGAAGCCCTGGGGATTAGGGGACCTTAGGCTCAAGGGCTATTCGATTTCCAGGGAAACCTATCTAAGAACCCCTCTCCTCTCAAATGGAGACACTGAGGTCCCAAGAATGGAAGGTACTTGCGTATCCACACACAGGTAGGACTAGAATCAAAGTCAGGGGACCAGGCAGTGCTGGGGTAGGAGTGGTTCCTGCCCTCCCCACCCCCATGATGGCCCTCCGTCCCTCTGTGCAGCTTCCAACAAAATAAAGCAACGCGCTTACACTGAAGAGTCAAATTTCCAGCCCCCTCTCATTTCCAATCTGATGTGGCCCTTAAACTCACCATCACATACACACACACCCCAAACAGAGAATACATACATAGATACACACACACCACTGAGACACACACCAACACAGACACAAAAATACCACAAACATACCCAGACAGACATACATATGCCACAGAGACACATGCAGATAGACACACGCAACACAGAGAAACACACATAAACACAGAGATACACACAGCACAGAGATACACACATATAGATATACGCAGACACACACACACAGCCACAGTGTGTTAGGGGTGATTCTTGGAGTCCCCCACGGATTCACACAAGCCACAGGAATGCTGTAGTTAAAAGCCTGTCTATAAATCGCGGTTCTCCCCAGCCCTCACCCACAACTCGGGGGCTGGTGGGGGGAGGGGGAGAAAAAAAAAGAAAAGTATTGAAAGAATGGGAAAAGGCAGAGACCGAAAGCAAAGGCCAAGAAAGAAGAGGGTAGGAAATGTGGAGAGGGCGAGCTGGGCGGGGCTCGGAGGGGGCGTGGACAGAATAGGAACCACCCCGGCGGAGGAGCTCAGGAGCCCGGGTGTGAAAAACGAACGAGGTTCGCGAGGCAGTCCGAGTCAGCAACAACCTTTAATTAAAGACTCTTAGGGAGGAGGCGGGGAGGAGGTTTAGGGATGGTTGGCCTGGGTTAGCTCCTCCCCTGCAACTCATTGTCCTCCTCCCCCAATATACATAATCTCTCAAACCCGCAGGCACTGGAGAAGGAAGGTGACCTTGACGCTGCCTACCCCTAGGCCTGGCCCCTCCCCCTCCTAGTTAAGTGTTAAGGGGAGGCGGTCAGGCGTGTGGCGGTCTGCAGGAGGGAGGGAGAGGAGACTGAGGACCCGGCGCGGGTATCCGGGAAGAGGGTTGACACAGGAACCGCTGGGGCGGTGTCCCTAGGCGGGAAGGAGGAGGAGCCGGGTGGGTAGGGAGCGGGAAGAGGAGGGGGCTCCAGGGTCCCAGGGCGGGGGAATCTGCGTCGGAGGAGGCGCCCAGGGGAGGCGCACGGGAAGGTAACAGGCTCGAGGGTCCGAAGATGGATGGACTCTCTCGCCTCTGCGCGGCCTCACTCAGTTCTCCTTCCCAACCCCCTTCCCCAGACCCGCCCACTCCAGCGTTCGCGGCTGCCCAGGAAGATGGGCGCCCTCTTGGGGGACGACGCCAGGGAAATCGGTCCAATTCCTCCGCCCCTGACCGCACCACTGTTTCTGACCCGACCACCCGTTTCCTGATCGAGATTAACGGCATCCTTTCCCCTAGAGGGAAACTGAGGCAGGGGAGGGATGGGTTTTTAATAGAGAGATGGGTGGGGTTTTTGTCCTTTGAAGCCTCAGTCCAGCCTATCACCCCTGAGGTGTCTTGCTGATGCGATCTCTGCCCCTTGCTACTTCCCTAGGATCCCAACTCCCAAAACCAGAGGCACATCAGGGCTTGGGGACCGCCGCCCTGCCCGAGGCGGGACACGGCCGGGGCTGGGGATGCAGGCAGGTGTGGGTGCTCTCCGGAACCCCGGAGAGGGTAGAGTGGGGGTCGGGCTACGCTGGAGCCCGGCTTAGCTCACCTCTCTGCCTGCTGTCTTTGCCGAGCGGGAGCCGAAGCGCGAGCAGAGCAAAAGCGGGTTCGGTCGCGCCTGCGCCGCAGTTGGGGGCGGGAGGGGGGTGATACCCGGTGGGATGCGGGTCCCCCGCCCCAAAGGGGGATTGGTATTAGTCTCTATTCAAGAAATATTTATTGAGCTGCAGATTGCAGACTCCTGCAGAATCACTAGCTCCTGTCCCCAGCCAGAGTTCCCTTCTCTTTCTGAGACTCCAGATCTCTCGCGGAAACCCCACCACCTCTCTCGACCTTATTCCCTCATGCAGTCCCTCAAACTCCTTATCCGGGTTCTCCCATCACTCCCTCAATCTCCCACCCCTCTCACTGAAGATCCTTGCCCTCACTGAGCATTCGTTTCCTCGCTGTATCCTCAGTTCTCTCTCTGGGTCTCTATCCCCCTAATGGAGCCCCCATACCGCTATGCAAACGTTCATCTCCCTGTAGAGCCTGCACCTCTTCACAGACTCTCATCTCTCTCTCTGAGGCCCCACCCATCACTGAGGCTTGCCTCTCTCACTGGGTCCCTACCAGAAGTCCCTCCTTGTTGATATCAGAGCCTCTTCTTACTGAAGACCACCCTCTCACTGAGTCCCCATCCTCTCTCCATTCTCTTTTTCTCTTGCTAAGGATCAGCGTCCCCCGCCCCCTTTATCTTGAGAAGGGAGTTGGGGTTGGGGAGGAGGTGTTGAGAGAGAAGCTTCCTCTCCCCTTGGAAGGAGCCAATGAGATGGGCTCTTTTGTTCTCTCTCCCAGCCTAGCCCTAGTTCTGCCCTGGGCAGCCTGTGCCTATGGCCCATGTCCCTGGGAGAGCCATCCTTTGCCAGGCAGCTTGCCCCTGTTTCATTCCTTGTCATGTGCCCACATCCTTGGTTTTGTCCCACATTTGCTGTGTAGTCTTGAGAAAGTCACCACACCTCTCTGAGCTTCATCAAGCACCATTGCACAAACATATCTTTATGTCTTGAGCATCCATAGTGTCTTTCTTTGTGCTAGGGGCTGGGACACAGAGATGAATGAACTCTGTGAGATGGGGCCACAATCTTTTCATTCACTATTGTATCCTTGAGCCTCACATAGTGATTGGCACTGAGTAGGCAGCTCAATAGATATTTCTTGAATAGAGACTAATACTAATAGCAAATATATGATGCTCATGATGTGCAAAGGCTTGTCTGAGTGCTTTATATTTACTACTTACTCATTTAACTGTGTGTGTGTGAAAGGGATGGGAGGAAGTCCTGGAGCTCAAAACTATAGGCCTCAAATGATGATGACAGGAGATCAGCTGGAGAGGCAGGCATATGTGAGACCCCTCAGGGCCTCATAGGCCAAAGTAAGGAGTTTGGACTTAAACCCAAGAGAAAAGTGGGAAGCCATGGAAGGATTGTTAAGAGAGGAGGGATGTGATCTGATTTGCACTCTGAAAAGATCTCTTTGGCTGCTGACTGCTAAAGAGAACAGGATAGAGATCTCAAGAGTGGCAGCAGAAGGACCAGCGAGGAGGCTCCAGATCATGATGATGTCTTGCCTAGTGGGCTTGTGGATAAAGGGATAGATTCAAGAGATGTTAGGGGATAAAATGAGCTACCAGAATAGCAAAAAATTGGAAGCAACCTATGGCAGTTTTAAACATGGTTGCAAATGCTTTAGCACTTTTTCTCTTGAGAGATGGGACTTCTGTACCCTCTCCGTGTATCCTGATGACAGCTTCAACCAATGGAATATGGTGAAGTGATGTTCTGATGTCCAAGGCTAGGACATAAAAGGACGTACACTTCCCTGGGAGCTCTAGTTCTTGGAGACCTGAGATGCCATGCAAGAAGTCTGTCTACCTTGAGGCTATCATGCTGTGAAGAAGCCAATACCACATGGAGAGCGCAGGTGAAGGCACCACAGTCCCAGCAGAACTTGGTTTTTGAGTTATCCCAGTTAAGTTATCACATAAATGAATGAAGAAGTAACCAGATGATTCCAGTCTGCTGCCATTAGAATCAGCTTGGTCTCTGATGATATTGGCGAGGGGATGGATGAGGTTCTGGAGGTAATGGGAAGTGATAGTTCCTTGACCCAGCACAAGAAAAAAACAGCCCATCCTGGGGAGGGAAAGGAGGGTGGCCATTGAGAAGAGATATAGTGCTGGTTGTGAGTTGAACTCTACGGTCAAACAAATCCAGGTTTGAATCTTGGTTCTGCCACTCACTGCTTACATGATATAACTGCTCCAAGCCTCAGTTTCCCTGACTGTAAAATAGAGATAATATT